GATCGACCCCTCTCCTGGGTGGGGAGTGGGATCTGGGCTCCGCTCAGCCAGAGGGCCCCCTCAGCCCCCGGTGTGTGTGTGCGTTGGGGCGGAGGGGCCTGTCCCGGTGAGGCTCTGCCCTCAGGGGCCTCCCCAGCCGGCGCTGAGGGGAGGCGGGGGTGCCGCGCTGCTGGTAAACGGGTCAGGCCGCTCATGGCTCCTCTCCCCGGGTAAGCCTTTCAGCGCCGAGGGTACATCCAGGGCAGGGCAGCTGCCAGGCGGGCAGCGGCCTTGGGAAGGTGCCGTGTTGGCGCCTCCCGTTTGGAAGAGGGAGAGGGAGAGGGGGAGGAAGGGGAGGAGGGCCGGGGTCGAAGCTGTGGGTTTTGGCAGGCAGGGGGGAGCGAAACTGAAAGCCTCTTAACCTGGCTGTGATGGGAGGGAGTGACCGGTCACGGGAAATCACGTAAATAAAAGATAAACCTGGAGATAATCCGGAGAAATTTCCGTGAAGTTTTTTAAAGGAGGCTTTAGAATACAGAGACAGCACGTAAAGGAGCTTAGTTTTAAGCTGCCTGGTGCTTATTTTCCTTTTCTGCAAACTTATGACACTTACTTTGTATACTTTTAGAGATATTGCTGCTGCACACAGGTTCTTCTGCAGTTGTCATAGATAAGTAACTTGCTAGATGCTTGTTTGTGTTTTGTGTAACGAGGTGTCGAAATTCCAGATACTGAGTGCGAGTCGAGTTTGAATCCTGGCGTCAGCCACGGTGCATTGATCTCTGTTCGACAGCGTCAGCGAGACTTCATTAATATTTACATGCTGTCCTCAGGCAGCCGTAGTCCCCCATAGCCCTTGTGAAGACAAGGCTTAAAAAGAGTAAATGGAAAGAATTCTATCTTCTAATAATCACTGCTTAGGCACTGGTGAGGCCTCACCTTGAGTACTGTGTCCAGTTTTGGGCCCCCTACCATAAAAAAGACATTGAGGTGCTGGAGCGGGTCCAGAGAAGGGCGACAAAGCTGGTGAGGGGTCTGGAGAATAAGTCTTATGAGGAGAGGCTGAGGGAGCTGGGGTTATTCAGCCTGGAGAAGAGGAGGCTGAGGGGAGACCTTCTTGCTCTCTCCAACTCCCTGAAAGGAGGCTGTAGAGAGATGGGGGTCGGTCTCTTCTCCCAAGTCACAGGCGACAGGACGAGAGGAAATGGCCTCAAGTTGCGCCAGGGGAGGTTCAGGCTGGATATTAGGAAAAAAATTTTCACTGAAAGGGTTCTCAGCCATTGGAATGGGCTGCCCAGGGAGGTGGTGGAGGCACCATCCCTGGAGGTGTTCAAAAGACGGGTTGATGTAGTGCTGGGAGGTATGGTTTAGTGATGATGCTCCTTGTTTGTTGTGTGGGTGTCTATTTTTGTCAGTCAGGTTGACGGTTGGACAAGATGATCTTTAAGGTCCCTTCCAACCTAGAAGATTCTGTGATTCTGTGAAAGGAGAAAGGAGCTGAGTTTTCTCCACATCAGCTCTGAAAGTTCCAGTTAACTGTCACTGAATCAAAATAATTTCCTTCACAGAGCTCACTAGCAGAAATCTGATGGCTGTGTGTAGGAAATCAACATTGTTACGAGGAGAGATTGGTGGGGAGGAGGGGGGAATCAAACATTTAAAATGCTATTTCAGGCAAATACACCCATTTGTTAATAAAATTTGGATCCTCTTGTTTCTCGAAGATGAAGCAGAAGGACGGGCATTCACAGGAACGACAAGGGAAGTTTCTGTGTTTGGCAGGACAGTGTAGGTGTATGGTTATGCCTGTGTAGTGTAATACTGTATGATTTAGGCATGTTGAAGGATTTCATTTACCTCTCAGTGGTATCATATTGCACAGTTTACGTATAATCTCTGCCGAGCAAAGGCTTTTGATTAAACTGGTGGTGAAACGTGGACTCTTTTATTCTCCATCCTTAGTTGGCAAGATATGGTAGTTGGTAAGATGTGATGAATATGGTTTTACATTTAGAGGTATATATGATCAGGCTGTATTTTTAAGAAAGCTTTAGCAACTTCTATGACAAGCGTGTGTTATTTTCAGTTCTTGCTTTAGATTTCACGCTGATATTAGCTTAGACAAGCCCTTCATTGTCTCTGTGATATTCATTGACTTTAATCTCTCTTTGCCTATCTTTCCAAACAGGTGCTTCTGAAAGTATTAGGGCATTTCATTATTTGTGGCTTCCAAGCCAAAAAATAGACCTCTGTATTTGGCTGGGTGATCTCTGCCAAATACTTGTGTTACTTATAACGGGTCTGTGTCAGTTTTGGAGAGGGTCTAACCCTTTATCAGAAGATTCTTCTTGCCTGTTTGGCTTGCTGTTGTGGTGGTAATATTTTGTTGGCTTTATCTTTCCTTACTACTTCCTTAATATGTTTCTTTATGGATATAATTTCCTGAGATGAGCTTGGGTCATGTGTCAGTCTTAAAGAGATATGCGTGCCCCAGTTTCTTGCTAAAATAAGGAGGAACCTGCTCTTTGTTTGTGATTTTTGATGTGGTTGGTATTCCTTTGAAACTGTGCTGCTTTGAAAATTTTGTACTTCTTTATGTTATACATGCCCTTTCAATGTAAAGACCAGACCTTTCATTTTTCAGATTTCATGCATTTGTTTATTCTTCATTAAGGCTGATCTGCTGCATCAAGCCCATTAAGTCATTCTCTTTTTTTTTTTTTTTTTTTTTTTTCTTTATCAGAAGATTCTTCTTGCCTGTTTGGCTTGCTGTTGTGGTGGTAATATTTTGTTGGCTTTATCTTTCCTTACTACTTCCTTAATATGTTTCTTTATGGATATAATTTCCTGAGATGAGCTTGGGTCATGTGTCAGTCTTAAAGAGATATGCGTGCCCCAGTTTCTTGCTAAAATAAGGAGGAACCTGCTCTTTTTGTTTGTGATTTTTGATGTGGTTGGTATTCCTTTGAAACCGTGCTGCTTTGAAAATTTTGTACTTCTTTATGTTATACATGCCCTTTCAATTTAAAGACTAGACCTTTCATTTTTCAAATTTTATGCATTTGTTTATTCTTCATTAAGGCTGATCTGCTGCATCAAGCCCATTAAGTCATTCTCTTTCTTTTTTTTTTTTTTTGTGTGTGTGTCTTACATAAAGGAGAGAAACTTCCTTTAGTAAGAAAAATATGATCATATTTCTTTTTAAGAGTGAGAACTCATAGTTGGAAAAGGACTTGGACAAATACAACATTGGCAAATATATGTAGAAGAACTTCAATTTGAAAGCAGTTACATCTGATTTTTCTTTCTTTTCATCTTTCATGTGAGGGACTCAGTAGAAAGCCTGGAAGAGAGCTCCATTTCATGTTTACTGAGTGGTATGCCTTGTGCCTACAGCCTCCGGAGCCTTTATATTTATTTCATGAGCAGTTTGTAATTTATGAGTTGTATTGCCTCTCAGCTTTGTAGACTGATATTTGATATGACAGTATTGAATGAAACCTGCAGAAGTGGGGGCAAAAGAGAGTTCGAGGAGGTAAGATGAGAGCCCCGACGCTCAGAAATGTAAACCTCCTCATTTCTGAACCTGGGAATTCCTGCATGTTTCCAGATCAGAGAGAAAGTTGTTCAGCATTGCTAATTTCTGTCTAAAGTGGAGTTTTATAAATGAAGAACCCGTGAAATTCCAACCCTCACAGTGAAATGCAATTCTTTGTGTTATTACTCTTCTAACCTCTTTTGGGAATCTTGTCTATGACTACTGCTTATCTTGGTAATAGGTTTGCTTAAGTACAGCAGAAGGACTATGTTTTATAGCAATATTGCTATCACTTGGGGCATTTTATTGCAGTAATTAAGTTGTGGAAGTTTTAGGGGAATTGAACTACTATTATTTTTAGTTTAAGTAGCATAAGGAAGACAGTGGGTAAATAAAACAAGCATCAGTGTTTTAAAAGAGGTATTATTCTAGCTTACTAAAGGCTATAAACATTTAACTCCTGCTTCTGAAATTGTCGTGTATACAGAGCTGGAGAGAAAAAATTTGCTAATGTTTTCATTCTTGCTGTGCCCTGGTTTCTTTTGGATTGAACCCTTTCTGTCCTTGGCACATAAAATAATTGTGAAATAATGGAGATTTATGAAGAAAGGTACAGTGCAATATAGTCTGCAAGAAAGAAGGTTGTTTGGGGATAATTCTGGAAAACTAATAGATCTCATAAAAATATCAAGCCGATACACTTAGAAGCATTTTCCTTTTAGATAACAAATTAGCTGGGGGTTGTTAAAACATGATGGTTTTCCTTAGTGCCAGGAACTAAGGAAACTCATCCAGGAGCTGGTTGGTACTGGTGCTCTGCATTCTTACAGATTTGGTCACTTTCTTCTGCAAAAGCAGAGAATGGGTCATCGAGAAGGCAAGGAGGCAATGACCCCAGTCTTAGGTACTTAGTATTTAGGCTACAGAAAAAAACAATGATTTATAATGTGAACTGTGAATAATCGTTTTACTGAAGTAGTTGTTTTGTTGAATGAATGCTCTTTTGTGTTTAAAATCTTGGCACCTGATTTTATAAAAGGTCACCTTCCTGGGTCTTTTGGATCTCATCGAACAAGTTTCTAAAAGTAATCACTAATATTGCAGAACTTGCTTTGGCTAATTTCTGAGCTGTTCAAGGTGAATTTCATTAGATGCTCTTGTCCTGGATGCTTGTAACTTCTCAGAGTTGTCTACAACCCGTTCTAACATCTGTCTCTGTCTTTTCTACCATCTTCAATTGAAAATACAGAATATACTGACTCTCTGTATCACTCACTGCTTTCTTTCCTCTCCTGTTACATCGTGGCTGCATCTCTTGTCTCCTCCTCACTCCTAATACATGGGTAGAATTTTTTTAATGCCTGTAAGATGGAACCCATTTTTTATTTTAGCCTTTCTTTTAACTTACTACTTCATGTTTATATTAGTCTGTCATCCTAATATTATGCTACGTTTTTTTCTGCATCTGTTTTTGTGCCTTTGATTGGTTCTCTTGTAAGTTTTTCTGTCGTTCCTTTACCTCTTTGCCTCTCAGTTTCTTGAGTTTATGGAAACTTTCTAGACCTGCTGCGATTTCCTCAGTGGAAGTTCTAACGCTCGCTTTTCACTTCTGTCCAAATTGTCTCAGTTATTAAAGACTCAGTCCTCCCAGTTGATCAGAAACAAAAGAATACCTTTTCTTTCCTTCCTGAAACAAAACATGACTCTGACTATGGGTATTTGTAAACTAACGACCTGGCTAACTGTTAAGAGCAGTGTATCAGGATACCTTCATCCCTTTACAGTCCTATCACTTGCCTTTACCAGCCAGCCTTGTCCTTGCAATTGCTCAGAAACAGTCTCTACCTTTTTTGTTTGGTTTTTTTTTTTGGTCTTCTGTTTAAATGTCTTGACAAGGCTTCCGTTTTTCTTCCCTTTGATTTCCACACTACATGTTCAACAAGTCTGAACTTTGGAATGAGGCGGAGTGCGTCACATGTATCGCGCTTTCGGAGCAGGGTTCCCCTTTTAAAGGAGCATTCCTGTCTCTCTTAAGTCCCTGCGTGTCTCCAGTGCCAGGTGTGATGCCAAATCTAACATGGGGCGTGTAGAAAGACTTGTATTATTCCTGTTTGAAAAACACAGCAGGTGCAATGCGATGGAAGATCCATACAGTCCATACAGTAGCTTGTCTAAAGGAGGAATAGCAGATGCCTAAGGGAAGACTAGATCAAGTAGACAGTAATGCTTCCCTAATAGACTTCTCCAGCTTTCCATAAAGAATTCCATGACTCAGTTATTATGTATGCCTGTAGCTTATGTTCGTGGCTGTTTGGTACGTAGCCCATTATTCTTCCCTCTTGTTTTTCTTAAATCAATCACAGTTTCCATTCTGATCTCGTGGTGCTTGGCTCACCTTTTTTTTTTTTTATAACTTTTTAATCTTACATTTTCATTAGTCCTTTGTTAGCTGATAGATTCATAGTTTCTTCCTAGTTTAGTCAGAAACAAAAGAAAATCCTGTTAGGAAGGAACTACTAGAAAGAGTCCAGCGAAGGGCAACAAAGATGATTCAAGGATTGGAGCATCTCCCTTATGAGGAGAGACTGAGAGAGCTGGGACTCTTTAGTCTGGAGAAGAGAAGGCTGAGGGGAGCACTTATCAATGCCTACAAGTATCTCAAGGGAGGGTTGAAGGAGGAGGGAACCAGACTCTTTTCAGTGGTTCCCAGTGAGAGGACAAGGGGCAACGGGCACAAGTTGGAACATAAGAGGTTCCACTCAAATATGAGGAGAAACTTCTTCACGGTGAGGGGGACAGAGCCCTGGAACAGGCTGCCCAGGGAGGTTGTGGAGTCCCCTTCCTTGGAGATTTTCAAGACCCACCTGGATGCTCCTGAGTAACATGCTCTGACAAGCTCTAGGCAATCCTGCTTCAGCAGGGGAGTTGGACTAGATGATCTCTATGGTCCCTTCCAACTCTAAAATTCAGTGAAAATTCAGTGAAATTCAGTGAAGTGTCTTTTTCTTTCTGTGGTAATGAGAAATTAATATAAACTTTATTATTTTATTTTTTTTAAACAGGCTTAAAAAAAATAACCGTAGAGTTGCACTGTTCCTGCCAAGTTTCCACAAGAAGCAGGTTATTACTAAGGAACTGTAAACTGTTGAAAAAAAAAAAAAACCAAAAAAACACTTTGTAACGGAAAGAGGGATGGTTTAACTGTAACATTTGTGGGCACTTCCAAACAGCACAGCTTTTCCATCTCCTGACTTTCAGACTTCCCCAGCACCAGCTCCTCGCTGCTACCTTGCTTTAGTCATCTCTCTGTGTGTGTACATACAGTGTCTTCAGCAACTCTGTTGTTCATACCACAAATATGTTGCTAAGGGTGGTTCAACAGAGTGTTGTTTCTAGCCTGATACACAAAACAAACGTAAATCTAAATCTATGGCTTTTTTTTTTTCTTCTTGGTGGCATACAGTTCTTGGTTATGACTGGTGTAGAGGACAGCTAAAGAAAAACTAGACCATTTTCACTAGAGGACTGATAAAAACATCTTGATTTAAGTGAGTGGTTTCTTGGTTATCTCTGGTGTAGAGGACAGTTAAAGAAAAACTAAACCATTTTCACTAGAGGAGTGATAAAAACATCTTGATTTAAGTGAGTGGTAGTACATATAAATAGACAGAACTTGAAATCTGTCCAACTTTATAAATCGCTTGAGTATTTTCAGGTCCCTCATCTCTGCTATTTCCTGTCGTTTTCTTGCATTAGTCATTTTTCCATGTTTCCTTTCTCTCCTCAGTTGTGGGAACGAGAAGGGAACAGCAAGGCTGCCGGGGAATATGAATGAAGAGAGGTGATCAGCTTTCTGTAGTTTGTTCTGGCATAGAAAAGAGTTTTAGATAAACCCTTTAATCTTAGGGGTAGTGCCCAGCTGCAGGCATTCTGTGGTGTTCAGAGCTCACTGGGAGCTGTTGAACACTATCATCTGTCCACGCTCAAGTGAACAATCATTTCCCTGGCTTTTTAATCGTTAACTTTGCAACAGTTTTGATTTCCTAAAAATGACACTGCTAAAAAAATCTTTGTCACCTGTACTAAGAAAATGCCCTCTGAATGCCTTTGCTTTGCAGTACTAGGAATTGTTGTCACCTGACGTGTCTTGTGTCAGTTTCTAAAGCTTTTTTTTTTTTAGGAGTACATGTAGCAGTTTTCCTCTGTATATATTCCATGACATGCATCTAAAATTCTTATGTTTCTCTTTTCAGAAGTACTATGGAACCTCCGCAGCCCTGTAGGTTTGGAAGGCTTAAACCCAAGTTTGGAAAGGCTTTTTCCATTCCAGATGATTTGCTGGCTTAAGCGCTTAATTAGGATGGCTTTTGAACAAGTTGGATTAAACATGGAATCAGTAAGTGTTTCAAACTTTTGCTTCATGTTTTCAGAAAATCAGGTATAGAAAGAACTTCATATATTTTATTTCATACTTATCTGTGCCAGCTGAACACTTGAAGTATGCTCAATGGTTGTATGATTCTGCATTGCTGAAAAAGTATGAAGTTTACTACTTGGACACTGAAGTATTGAGTAATGTGTTAAATTAATTGAGTATGTGTTAAAAATACCACACAGTGCCTTCTTGCTCTAATAACAAGCTGTTTACTTTGTAAACATTGCTTTTCATCCTGGACTTCTGTGTGCGTTTTGAAGGTGAAGGGAAGATTTTCAACTGTTTTTTAACAGTGACATTAATTCTTGAATAATCTTATTTCTTTGCTCTTACCTTGGAGATGTGAAAAGCCCCATGGAACTGGGGAAACAGAGGAACATGCATGTATAGCTCTCCTCTTGGAGGACAGTGTATATAGAGTTTTCTTTGAATGCTTAGCAGAGAGAGTGAGCAATCTGCTGCACATCAACTGCTTTGTTACTGGAACCTTTAGGAATCTATTTTGAGTATAAGTATTGACCTCAATGCAGTAATCCCTGTAAGTTATTGAAATATTTTAATGTTTTAAATATGGGGAAATCCTTAACAGCTATATGCAGTACTTAGAAAGGCAGTTCTTGCTCTGGATTATCATGGTAGAGCCTTTTATCAGTCTTGGGAATCTATGGAGAGGAAAATGCTTGTACATTATAAATTAAAATTGCTGATAGGATTTTATTCAAACTGATCTGAGATTTCATGCAGTGTAACTTTGAAAATTCAAAGTAAGAGAATATGCTGGACTACCATGGGTGTTGCTGTTGGTCGTCGTCAGCAACATCTTTCAGCCTAAATAGGAGAGAAAAGCAAAATTTTAATCTGTTTTCCCCTATTCTCTACTTGTATCAAGCTTGTGATAATGCAGTTACATTTCCAAATGTCAGCTGTTCTGGACAAGAGCAAAACCCTGATGCAATAAGAGGATATGACTGAGTAATACTTCGCAGACTTGCTCTGCCAGTGCTTCAAGTCAACAAGTCAACAAGTTGGGTAGAGGAGTGCTGAGATGTATTAGCTCAGCTGAGCAGGGCACTGGCTTTATTTCCATACGTTGTGGCACAGCTTGCATGCAGTTTTGGTGTATCTTGAATTACCAAAACTGAGTCATTTAAAGTTTCTGGTATTCTGGGTGTTGAATGCCCCCAAGGGCATGTGGGCACCAAATATTTTTGAGGATCTGGTTGCAGTCAGCATCTTGTCTGCGGTCTGAGCAATCTCTAAACAAGTTTTACCACTTGCTTAAAATGCACTGCACTGACGTTGGTAATACAGCATGTAGTCTAGTCTCTTCTGCTGTTGTGGAAGTACTTCTGTAATTAATTAAGCCTTCTCTTGTCTACTATTTGTTTTTCAAATGCAACATGGCTTTGAGGCTATCGCCAACAGTTCTGCTTCTAACATGAGAATCTGTTGAGAGCTGTGAGGCTGTATTACTGCAGGAATGTTCATCAGTCACTTTTTCTTGAAGCCTCCTGATCTCCCTGGTATTTGCTCAGACGTACAGACAAACAGTAATGTGAGGGATCTTTGAGGCATCCAAAATACAGAATCAATACTCTGCATGGAAAAAAATTTGTGTTCAAACTTAGCAGTATATTAAACAAGAGAATGCATGTTTGATAGATTGGAAAGAATGGGTGTGAGTGGATAAATGGCAAAGTTGCAGCTCTGATGTGAGGATCTAGCATAGCATTATGTGCAGTGCAGGTTTATTTTGTCCAAATTTACACATTCCAATAAAGCCAGAGGAAGGAAAGACACTTGTTTAGAAATGGGCAAAATGTTCACGTGAAATTTCGGAGATAAACAGTCTCAGGTAAAATACCATGGAGCATATTTTCTTTTTAATAGAACTTTCAAAATCTAAAAGTAGTGATCTTTGTGTAGTATATCGAAATGTTATTCAGCTGTGTGTTGTGAACCTCCCACAGCTGTCCTACACTAAGCACACAGGCAATATTGCCATGCCAGGTGAGGCTTGTTTCAGTACTAATAGCATAGATTTTATCTAAGTTTTCTCTTTTGGGCAACCTTCTAACAGGATGTTGAGTTTACTTAAGGCTATGAGCCTTTGAAAACTAAGATCTGAGTAGTAAATTCATATCTACAGCCATAAGTAAACACTGGCCAAGGTTTTTATGTTACTACACAGTGTTCTAATTGTTTACTAACAAGATACTCTGTGTTAGTCTTCCCATTACTCTTTCCATTCTTTGTGTGTTTTTTGTTGCCTTTCCCTGAGCTGAAATCTTTCCTACTTCTCTCTGGGTGTTTTCTTGCTTCCGTTCTGGCTTGTTTTGTAGTATTCTCTTAGGATTAAAGTCTCATTTCATTTCGTACAACTACACTCAATAGTAGAGCAAACATTCCCATTATTAAGTGCAACAAAAGAAAACAAATTCCATCCCTGTTTAAACAATGTAGAAATCTGAATTGCAGTAGAAACAGTCCTGACGAAGCCAGGTGTGTTGAGGTGCTGTGGCCAATTTTCTCTAAGTGAATGTATTTATACTTTTTATAGGACAAATTTTCATTCTTATGTATTAATTTTCCCCCTTTTACTTTTCTTTGCTCTTTAATTTCACCGTTACATTTTCATACTTATGCTAGCTGATAGACACCACTCCTGGGTTAGAAGAGCTCCTCATTAACCAAAATAAAAGATATTTTGGGAAATGTAGAATTGCAAGAATTACATAACTTTATGAATTTTTCATGATCAAGTGGCTTTTCTTGAAACCCCTTAAAAAGAGGTGTCTGACCCCATGAAGTTTCTTTATTGTCTACCTGAAAGGAAGTTGTACAGGTCGGTCTCTTCTCCCAAGTCACAGGCAACAGGACAAGAGGAAATGGCCTCAAGTTGCACCAGGGGAGGTTCAGATTGGAGATTAGGAACAATTTTTACACGGAAAGGGTTATTAAGCCTTGGAACGGGCTGCCCAGGGAAGTGGTGGAGTCCCCATCCCTGGAGGTATTTAAAAGACGGGCAGACATAGTGCTTAGAGACATGGTTAGTGATGGTTTTTGATCAGAGTTAAGTTGTTGGTTGGATTCAATGATCTGAAAGGTCCCTCCCAACCTGGACAATTCTATGATTCTATGAAAATGGACAAATTATGCTTTTGAAGGTGCTCCCAGCTCTTGAATCCTTCTTTGTTACCTGATTTGTTGCTTTGAATTTAATTGCAATACAAAGAACGTCTTGAACTTAAATAGCCATAGCTCTGTTGTGATGATAAAAAACAAATTTTGTGCCAATTTGGGTATAGAATATAAGGAGCTCCACTGATACAAACTTCAGTGCGTATATATGTATATTCTACTCTATTCTAGCGTGAAAGGAGTAACTTTAAATACGTTTAGCACAAGCATAGTATGGAAGGATAAGGAAAAACAATTCCAGTATGATCTAAAAATCAGTTGCCTAATAGCTGGCTTCTTTTTTCTTCCCATCTAGGTGCTTTGGTCGAGCAAGCCTTATGGTTCATCTCGAAGTATTGTAAGAAAAATTGGTACTAACCTCTCTCTCATACAGTGTCCACGAGTTCAGTTTCAGGTAGGTGTTCTCAACAGTGTGGAAATATGTTTTTTATTGTACCCATAAAGGGATTTGCTCTTGCATCAAATGATTTTTAGCAAACATGGAGTTCATTTAAATAAATAACTAGAGGGTTTGTAAAAGCAGAATATGATAAACCGAGTTCTTCTCGCTTCCAGTTCAGGGTTTTTCCAAATATGGATTCTTCAGCTTCTGTGCTGCCTAAAACCTGAGTCCATGTTGCTGTAACACTCATAATGAAACTTGAAACAATTTTATTTTTCTTTTTCCTAAGGAAATTGGAACTTCTAAAATGAGGGAATACAGTATTAAAAAGTTATTATTGGAAAAAATATATTAATAAAAGAGAAAAATGAAAGATTTCTAAAAACTACTTATAAGCTAGGCTTAAAAGGCACATAAAGATGAACAGTGTTACTTTGAAATATTTGGGAAAACAAACAACTTTATCAGAAAGTAAGAAATTAGTAACAAGATAACGTGTGTACCCTGTTTGCTTTTGTTTTAAATACAAGGCCAGGACTCGAGAGGTGAAAGGGGAACATCAATTCTCTGCAGTTTTCTGTCTGAGTTTGATTTTAACCTCAACTGCATATAGTGGGAGGGTAAAGAGTGAGGGTAAAAGCTTCAGGAGGAGAAAGCCCTTGCTTTTCTCGTTTGATTTTAACCTCAACTGCGTATAGTGGGAGGGTAAAGAGTGAGGGTAAAAGCTTCAGGAGGAGAAAGCCCTTGCTTTTTATAACAAGTCTTTCAGGAACAGATGGGGAAAGTGGAAGCTGTTACACATAATCTCTTTGACTCTGTGTGTGTTAGGGTTGGGGGTGGGTATAGAATTGGAGAAATGTAGTGTTTGAAACTCAAGCTGAGAGAGGAACGTTTTTTGGGCTGAGCAACGGTGGGGAACATAAAGATGAAAGGTGGGAATCCTCACCCACACGAAGACAAGGTAATTTCCATGCAGCTAAATTTTTCACTGTTTCAATGAATTTCTTTATCCTATATGAAATATACGAGCAGTATTTAGACTTGAAATTATAGTAGCAAAATCAGATAGTTCAAGTTACCGTGGAAGCCTTTTTGGTGTGATAGTAAAAGCCATGCTAATGTTCTACCTCTCTCAAATAATTGGTTGGAGAAACTAGGAGGGCAACCATCTCCCACTAATAGTGGCTTGGTGAAACTTAAAAAAATAAATATATTTGTGGGGGTGGGGATTTTTGCAGGTGAGAAGGACAACGAAATGATATGCTGGATGTAAACTTTTGGATATATAATTAATAGTAGTTTTGCTAGCAGTGAAGCTCCATGTGCCTTAGAATTGAAAGGAAGTGAAGCCCTCCTGTAATGTCTCTGATTTTCTGTCCTGTAAAGGCCATACAGGGGAAGATGATGCTCACTTGCAGATAGTTAGCCAAATACTGCCTTCTCTTAATATGCCACATAAAAGAAGACATTTCTGGTTTATGTTCTTGCAAAGAGCTGTAAGATACATCTAGGGAATCTGTTCCTGAATATTTTTAGTGTTGAAATAAAAATATGTATGTGTCTTCGTCTGAATTCTGTGTTAGAATAAATAAAATATTTGCCTTTTTTTCCTATTAAAGAGATATTCAGTCAGCTTTGTGTAGATTCTATGCACAGTAAGTATAAACATTCATCTCCTATTAGATGAAAGGATCCTAAAAATGGAAGTACAATTGTCAGAGCTGATTGAATTAGAAATATGAATTTCAAAATTTGAGCCTTGAAACACATTAAAATGTATATGGTTTATGCAGGCTTGACACTATTTTAATATATAAAGTGCTGAACATGTGAAAGTGTGATGCTAACATCTGTTTTTTGTGTCTTTATCTCAGCATTAAGATTCTGTAGTGAAGCTCAATACTGCTCTCGAGCGTTTTTATGCTGTTCCAACTGACACTTTCCTATAGCTGTCTCTTCCTCTTTCTTTCTTGCCAGCTTTAGCTATATTATGAAAGGACCATGCACTGAACCTTGCTGTAAGTCACTTTATTTAAAAAACAAAGCAAATCTTACTTGCCTCATCTGAGGGTGCATGTGTATCATCAGTGTTTCTAACTTCATCTAAGAACAACAGAATTTCCACAGGTTTTCATTTTCCTTATGATAAATGGATAAGAGATATTAAAAGAATATATCTGTTGTGTTCATTCTTCTCTTCTAGCATGCTTTTGTTCAGCTAGCCTGAAAAAAAAGAGTAGTAGCCTAACATTTTGATTTTTGAGGTCTCCTGACTGTTGTAGTCAGTCATAGGATCTTGCCATAGTCAACATCTAAATTAATTGCTAAATGCTGCTTATGTGTCCAGTAAATGGTGACAGAGCTTACCTTGCATACTTACTCTATATGGCAGGAACAAGTGAAAATGCTTCTGATAGTTCTTTTGTATGTCATTTTTTTTTTTTTGGTTTATCTGTAGTCTTTAGGAGAAAATAGTTAAACTTACCAATATAGCCTAGGTAGATCCAACCAAACCTAGAATGCTGTCTCTCAAGATGCTGTCCTTCAGCTACAGCATCTGTGTTCTTGTCCCGTGCTTGGAACAAGTGAAAATGCTTCTGATAGTTCTTTTGTATGTCATTTTTTTTTTTTTGGTTTATCTGTAGTCTTTAGGAGAAAATAGTTAAACTTACCAATATAGCCTAGGTAGATCCAACCAAACCTAGAATGCTGTCTCTCAAGATGCTATGCTACAGCATCTGTGTTCTTGTCCCGTGCTTCTCCTGTTCATCTGGTTGAAACTGGGTAACTCAACAGAAGTCTCCTAAGAAATTGGTGTGCATCTACCAAACATCAGAATTTACTGGGCTATAAGGGAAACCTGATAACAGAAGTCTCCTAAGGAATTGGTGTGCTTGTACCAAACATCAGAATTTACTGGGCTATAAGTTTGTCTTACTTGAAGAACTCTTTCCAAATGTTTAATATCTAACTGTATTTGTGTTTTGAAATTAGAGTTTTTATTCTATCCTTAAATGTATGAAAATATTTGCTCTACTTTCCACCGCCATCAGCCAAAACAGTCCAATGTGTATAGTCCTTTAGAAATTCATGGAATGTTGGGTCTGAAAACACAAACGTGCCTGTGTGCGTGCAGCATCCATGCACACTGAAATAGGCAAAAAAGCCTGTGAAGGAAGAAGCAGGGGAAGGAACTACCTACTTGCCAGAGAAAGAAAAGCAGGTTACCTCCACTGTTCCACTCAGTTCCTGCCATCAGGTAGAAGGAGACCTCTGTTTTCAGCTCTTTGTTCTCCATTTCTGGTGTGGGCAGAGCAGTTGTCCAAGTTTTCTTCTGCTGAGATTGGCTGGAGGAGTAGAGCAGTCACAGAGTTGTTAAAGCATCATTCTACAGCCAGGCAAAGGTTTTGAGAGACAGGCATTGGCTTTTAACCTTTAAATTAAAATAATCTTTTATTAACTTAAAATTCAAAATCCACTCTATGGAAGGCCATGTTGTTTTTAGGGATAGAGAAAAGAAACATCTGTATATGGGGTAACAAGCAGATTCTGTTTACATATAAATACGAATTTTAAAAAAAGTAAGAAAAAACTTGCATCACAATATAACAGAAGGCTTGCTACTAAATATTGGACTAGAAGTTATTTATCTCACAGCACAGGAAACCTGGCCATGGCAAATGCATTCCTTACTGTTCATCTATAAAATTATTTTTGATGCAAGTATGTGTAGTGGCTTTATTTAAATGTGCCTTCAATCTTTTCATGGTAATAGTTCCTCATGTGGCCGTTACTATCAGCAAAATCTGTACCACCTGCAAGAAGTGGCTCATTTCTTATAGAGCTTTTAGATTGTTGTTAACGTTAATACAGATGCTGTGGTTGTGAAAATTTCTTTTTAATCTTAAAAAAAAGCAAAAAGCTAAGGAAACCTCAAACAATGAAAATCCTAACGTGCAATATAGTATTCTCTAGGCTGTTTTAAAGAGAGGCAGACTGTGATGGTATTAGGCACAACTGTTAATGTGATAAACATATTACCATCTGTGCTGATGGTACCTGGAAAAAACCCTGTTGTTTCCAAATGATCTGATGGTGCCAATGCACGCTCCTGGGAGCTGTGATAAAGGCTCGCGTACGAGTTGTGAGAGTGTGAGGTGAAGATGACTAATCTCAATTTCCAAAGCTGTTTGTAACAACTCCTGGGGGAAAAAAAAAAAAAACAAACCCAAAACTTCTGTCTTCCTGGGACTTGGGTATCAAAGGCTACATCTAAAATGTCTGTGAATGTTCTTCAGAAATTATTTCGCCCCATCCGGATCGCAGTCCTACTGTCATAGGATGATAGGTTTGCTACAAATTCAAGCTAATGCTAACATTTCATAGTTGCTGCTACATAGCTCACCTCTGGAAGAGTAAATTATTGCCTTTACGGTGTCCAGTTCTGGACAAGAAGGACAGGCAACTCCTGGAGAGGGTACAGCAAAGGCCTACCAAGAAAATCAAAGATGATGAAGGACCTGGAGCATCTCTCTTATGAGGAAAGGCTGAGGGACTTGGGTCTGTTTAGTCTGGAGAAGACTGAATGGGGATCTCACCAGTGCCTATAAATACTTAGAAGGTGGGTGTCAGGAGGAAGGAGTCAGTCGTTTTTCAGTGGTGCCCAGTGACAGAATAAGAGGAAATGGGCACAAACTTGAATGTAGGAAGTTCCACCTCAACATGAGGAGGAACTTCTTTCCTGTGAGGGTGGCAGAGCCCTGGCAGAGGCTGCCCAGAGAGGTGGTGGAGTCTCCTTCTCTGGAGACATTCAAACCCACCTGGACACGTTCCTGTGGGACCTGCTCTGGGTGGACCTGCTTTGGCAGGGGGTTGGCTGGATGATCTCCAGAGGTCCCTTCCAACCCCAGAACACTTGTGTGAAAATCTGTGAAAATAGACCTAAGTGCTAAGAGGATGGATCCAAACTGTCTCCACAGACTGGTACATGCTGCCACTGTCTCTTTGTTGGCATGACCAGCTGCTTGGCCACTGCCACCAAGCAGGCAGCACTTCAACAGATGCAACGACTCAGGGGCAAATTAGCCTTGTGGATTGTAGGAAATAGAAGCAAAAGAGGTGGCAGAGTTGCATTGGAAATAAGTAACTCAACTATAACTCTAAGAAAGGTTCCAGTCTCTAGAGCCTTGCTCACCTTTGGCTTCCAACAGCTATAAAGCTAATGGTGGAACCATGCTGGAAAATGGTCATTTTCTTTGTCATACTGTAAATGAGATTATTAGCAAAACTGTATTCTGTTATGATTGCATCCTGCCTCTCACTCAAAGCCTTTGTGATTACTGAGCTAGTAGAAATGGCTTTTTGCTTTCTTTTTCTTCCCCTCCTGTGCAATGCACACACCAATACACTTGTACAGAAATTCTGGAAGCTGTAGGGGAAGGGAAACACACTTCAACAGAATTTGACTTTCAAAATCATACTAAATCAGAGAAAAAGACATAAAAAGTACTAGTAGCCTTAATGTCTCTAACTTCAGGTCATGAATACAATGTGAAAACATATCATTTGAGTTAATATAGCAAACCACTTGTTGTTTGGCTTTAAGGTAACAATTTGGATTGGATTTTTAGGGTTCAGTAGTGTCCTGTGATAGTGTATGTAGTAGCTGTGGACCTCTGGAAAGTGTTCAGCAGACTAGAGTGAATAGTTTGAAGTCAGTGAAGTGGTTCTGGACCAAGCCCAGAACAGAAATCAGTGTGTTTTGTGCATGTATGTGGTAACAGTTACGTGTAGCTTCGCTGAGAGTGTTGGGTAAAATAACTTGGGCTGGGAATGGCAACTCTAAAACCTTGGATTTTTAGGGTTCAGTAGTGTCCTGTGATAGTGTATGTAGTAGCTGTGGACCTCTGGAAAGTGTTCAGCAGACTAGAGTGAATAGTTTGAAGTCAGTGAAGTGGTTCTGGACCAAGCCCAGAACAGAAATCAGTGTGTTTTGTGCATGTATGTGGTAACAGTTACGTGTAGCTTCGCTGAGAGTGTTGGGTAAAGTAACTGTGACTTGGGCTGGGAATGGCAACTCTAAAACCTTCTATCTTGTCTTTAAAATTTAGCTTACTTCTCATGCCACAGAAGGAAACCATCCTAATCATCTTAGAGAAGATGCAGTGGCCTCCTTTGCAGATGTGGGATGGGTTGCTCAAGAAGAAGGTGAAGTCTCTACAAGGCTCAGGTATGCTCCTAAAATCTCATCTTTGAACTTCTGGACCGGGAGAAAGAGTCCTTGCTTCTCTCCAACGAGAATCTACTGTGCCTTAAAATTAATGGAAAGAGCTTGAATGCTGGGAGGAGAGAGAGGGAAGAGTGATAGAAGAGGTAGGGTCTGGAAAAGGAGAAGGAGAGGTTAGACTGAGGATTATGAATGAAACACTGGTTTGAGAATGTATAGGAGATTGGCTTTATAGAATCATAGAATGGTTAGAGTTGAAGGTTAGACTGAGAGGATTATGAATGAAACACTGTTTTGAGAATGTATAGGAGATTGGCTTTACAGAATCATAGAATGGTTAGAGTTGGAAGAGACCTTAAAGATCATCTAGTTCCATGGGCAGGGACACCTCCCACCAGACCAGGTTGCTCCAAGCCCCATCCAGCCTGGCCTTGAACCCCTCCAGGGATGGGGCAGCCACAGCTTCTCTGGGCAACCTCTTCCAGTGTCTCACCACCCTCAGAGGCAAGGGAGACCACCTTATACAAGGGAGACTAAATTAGTAAATAAAAAACACATTGTAGAGAATTGCATGGGACAGCTTCAAGCAACCTTGTCCCCACAAAAATGCCTGCTGGGGTACAGCACGATTGCTGACACCGATTCTCCAGTTCTCCTGAGATTTTCATTAATATGGGGCAGTGTACTGTACGGCTTCCTAATTAGCAGCAGTGGTCATTCTGACAATCAAATAATTGGCACGTTGTTTTTCGCCTTTCCGGTTAAGGCTCTGCAGTCTGCTAAAGACAATTTAAAAATTATGGTTTATATTTCATCTTTATAATGAAAACTGGTATGGAAGCACGTGAGCACCTGTGTCCAGAACGATGGGACAGGTCCTGCTGTGGTGGACCCAAGAGTGCTCCATAGCACGGTAACTGCATGGACCAGGTTGACTGACGCCATGAAGGGGCAATGGTTTTAAGCTGGTGGAGGGACCGTGGTGGACCAGGAGTGCTCCATAGCATGGTAACTGCATGGAACAGGTTGACTGAAGCCATGAAGTTCTCTATCCCAGCCTTCCCAAATCGCTGCTCAGAGTAGCCAGAAACAAAGGTACAGCTCCTTAGTGCAGAGGAAGTTTTTCTTCTAAACTAACCTTCCAGAGAAAGGCACAGATTGTTGGCTTCAGAGATTATTGAAGGACACTGTTCTCAATTTGAAAGCATGAAGTAGGTTAGTAATGACCTAGATGGCCTCCAACATGACTTGCCAGGGTGATGCTTTGCATAACAAACGTGCTGTCGCTGCCACATTCATTTTCTATTCCAGCCTTCCCAAATCTCTACTCAGAGTAGCCAGAAACAAAGGTACAGCTCCTTAGTGCAGAGGAAGTTTTTCTTCTAAACTAACCTTCCAGAGAAAGGCACAGATTGTTGGCTTCAGAGATTATTGAAGGACACTGTTCTCAATTTGAAAGCATGAAGTAGGTTAGTAATGACCTAGATGGCCTCCAACATGACTTGCCAGGGTGATGCTTTGCATAACAAACGTGCTGTCGCTGCCACATTCATTTCTCAAACTCAGAGGGGAGTCACAGAAATCAACGCTTGTTGTCTGTTGGGTGAGAAGGAAATTAACTGGCCAACACTACTTTTGTTTGCACATTTTGTTTAAGGATTGAACTGTAAAGCTATTATGTTTAATGGAGACGACAGGGAGAATAGCTCTTCGGTGCTTCAAAGAACCTATTAGGAAAGATGTAGGACTTGCATTTGTGCTGAGACGTCTGCGTGGAGGGGAGAAGGGGGACAGATGGATGTGGGATGGGACTGAAATAATCCTGCAGATACGTGGTGACCTTAAGGCAAACAGCTTCTAATGGAGCAAATAGGAGTATTTCAACGTGCACCGTTTATTACGCCTGCGCGCAGTATCGTGGAGTGGAGCTACTGTGCATTAGGTATTTTCCACACATTTGAAATTCTGTTTTGACAAGATCACATAGGTGTTACTGTTAAATATATATTTGCTGCACACTTCAATAAACCCTCTTGCAGACATAGTTTTTTTTCCTGCGAATGCAGTTTTATAGAGGAAGCAAAGAAATGACAAATCATTTTTCCCCTATCCCTAGTCAGAGCAGTAGTGACAATTCAGTCAGTAATATTTTTCCACAGTGTTATGTTCCAATCAAGACATTTCCTTAAGACACCATTACTGCTCTGAGTGGAAAATAACCCTTTGTTGTTTAGCTATCCTGCTCTTTTATAGTTTCTAGAAGGCAGGTTTTAAAGAGTGAAATGACTAGGGGCTCTTTCCCCCATACTTCTTTAGGAAGAGCAGGGAGGTGGCTGCTGAGGAAGCATCCTGTTCTATTCTCAGCTTTAGTTGCTCTCTGTTCCTATCTGGATAACACCTAAATTTTCACATCCTGGATAATATTAATTTCTGCTTGATCAAATTTCTGCGAGCTGTGTAGAGTAGCCTCCAGAGTGATGTGGTTTTTCAGCCATGTTAGCATGGAGCCATTCTGCACAGATTGAAAAGCCCCATCACTAGCCACTGTGCTTGTTCTCATGTTTGAATAAATAAAAGAAACCTGACCTGCCTGAAAAGTTTTGGGGTTAAGGAAGATTAATCTTAAGGAAGATTGAGGAGTTAAGTATGTGGCCATATTTTGCAGTTATAATGTTTATGTCTGCTGTTATTAATCCTTATCAGTTCTACTTGTAGAATAGTTTGGGTTGGAAGGGACCTTTAAAGGTCATCTAGTCCAACCTCTCCTGTCATAGGCAGGGATATAAAATCATAAAATCATTAGAGTTGGAAGGGACCTTTAAAGGTCATCTAGTCCAACCTCCCCTGCCATGGGCAGGGATATAAAATCATAAAATTAGTTGGAAGGGACCTTAAAGATCATCGAGTTCCAACCCCCTGCCCTGGGCAGGGACACCTCCCACCAGACCAGGTTGCTCCAAGCCCCATCCAGCCTGGCCTTGAACCCCTCCAGGGATGGGGCAGCCACAGCTTCTCTGGGCAACCTCTTCCAGGGTCTCACCACCCTCACAGCAAAGAATTTCTTCCCAAGATTTAATATAAATCTCCCCTCTTTCTGTTTAGAACTGTTCCCCCTTTTCCTATCGCTCCACTCCCTGATCCAGAGTCCCTCCCCATCTCTCCTGGAGCCCCTTTAGAGACTGGAAGGGGCTCTAAGGTCTCCCTGGGGGAGAGCAGCCATGGGGGCAAAATGGTAGCATTTGGGCAAAAAAAAAATAAATAAAATCTGAATTCCAAAAAAATGTGTGAAGCAAAGAAATAGATAGAGGATGAGGGGGAATGTATTTGTTTTTTTCTCTTGAGATCAAGGATTTCACAAAAAGCTGGCACGGGGAAGAGAAGAAATACAGGTAGTGATGCAAACGGAAAGGATGTGAAGCTCTTTAATCTCTATAATGTTTTGGTGGAAGTGATTTTTGTAGACAATTCTGAAGTCAGGCCTTCAACTTGGGATTCCTGAGTTGTATGGAATGTTGCATTATGTTTTTATCTATTACAAAGCCTTTAAAAAAAATAACCTTGTGCTAATTTTGTTACAGGTCGGAAGTTTGGTCGAAAACAGCCCAGCCTCTTTCAGGTGACGTCCATCATTCTGGAAGGTCCCCATGCAGACAGATGTCCTTACAAAGCCCCTTGGAAGAGGAACAAGTGTCCAGGAGCACAGCGATAGCAAACGAAGAAGCTCTGCAGAAGATCAGCGCTCTAGAAAATGAACTAGCCACTTTAAGAGCACAAATAGCCAAAATTGTCATCTTGCAAGAGCAACAGAACCTGACAGCAGGTATTAAATTTGCTGTACTTTTAGCAAAAATTAGTTAATAATGAATTTGTCCCTTTTATGAGGCTTTAAGCAACCTGGTCTGGTGGGAGGTGTCCCTGCCCATGGCAGGGGGGTTGGAACTTGAAGACCTTTAAGGTCCCTCCCAACCCAAACCATTCTATAATAATGTAGTAAATTGTTTTTTGTGGGAAACTGCAACTCTGAAGACTTCTTCATGTTGTTTTGGTTCGTTTGGTAGATGGACTAACCAAGGGATACACAATAGGTCTCAAAGACAAGGGACCTGCCAGATTTTCTGTATTTTCTAGTGTTCCAAAAGTCTTTGTGTGAAAGTCTGGCAGAATCCCAAATCTGGGGATGAGTAAAGAAGTATTAAACAGCTTTCAGAGCAAATGATGGCTTAAACCAAACTAAAAGAATGTAGTGTTAGTGTTAGAAATTAAGTCTTCCCATCCAGTAATTAAATAAGCTCTCTGATGATGTGAAGTAATCGTGCAATATGCTGATTACTCTTTTGTATCTTGTAATATACATCTCCAGTTTATGATATATGTAACAGTAGAGGAGATTGTTTACTAGAACCATCTCTGGGATCAGACTGTTGTCCAGATGGAACTAAAAGTGGTGCAGTTTTTCTGGCAGCAAACAGAATAATTCTTCTTTTCCTGAGCTTCTTTCCCCTTGTTCCCTCACATCTGCCTTCCTTCTACTTCTGAGTCTACCCTCTCCAAGGATTACTGGGAGATGGCCCTTGTCCACTACAAAGGACAACCATTTGGTTTTCACTCTTTCCTAAGGTCACTTAACAAGCACAGTTTTGCCTTTGTTTGTGTATAAAATCATATTCTGATTCCTCAAGTACTCTTTAGTCTGTGAACTCATCACAATTACTTTATTTTTCCTTAACTGTTTTATGCAATAGTTTTAAGGATCAAACGGTTTCACTTTTGAATTGTATTGGGGGGGGTGTGTGTGAAATAATTAACTTATTTTTCATCGATCCATAGCAGTTACTTTATTTTTCCTTAACTCTTTTATGCAATAGTTTTAAGGATCACATGGTTTCACTTTTGAATTGTATTGGGGGGTGTGTGTGAAATAATTAACTTATTTTTCATCGATTTCCCTTTATCCCCTATTTACTAGGAAAATTAAATCTTTATTTGATTTTATCATCTTTACCTCCCTCTTCTGGTAGAATATGGCAATGACACTGTGTGGTTGCCTGCCTGTAGACAGAGTAGACTCTGGATTATCTATATCCATTTCTTTACACACTTTGTACTCCAAGCCTTGAAACTCTGGTTTGATCTGGTTTTGCTGCTATCTTTAAAGGTGCATTTGAGCAGAGGTTTCTTCATGCATTTGTCAAGTTATCACTTGATTTTTACCTAAAGAGTCCAGGGAACTTGAAATGAGGATTATCGTGACAATCTCTATCTACTGACCTAAAAATCCTTAACTTCAGAGAGGTTCATTTGAAGTACTACTTGAGCTCTGAAGTCTTAAAATCTTGGATGGTAATTTGTTATTTGTGATAAGCAGGAAGAAAAACTAGTCACGTGGTAGATTGTATGTGATTTCCAGCTCAGTACCTGCCTCTTGGAAGTGAAATCACAGAATTACAGAATCACATGGGGTTGGAAGGGACCTCTGGAGAGCATCCAATCCAACCCCCTGCCAGAGCAGGTCCACCCAGAGCAGGTCCCACAGGAACGTGTCCAGGTGGGTTTGAATGTCTTCAGAGAAGGAGACTCCAGCACCTCCCTGGGCAGCCTCTTCCAGGGCTCTACCACCCTCCCAGGAAAGAAGTTGCTCCTCATGTTTAGGTGGAACTTCCTATGTTCAAGTTTGTGCCCATTTCCTCTTGTCCTGTCCCTGGGCACCACTGAAAAAAGCCTGGCCCCATCCTCCTGACACCCACCCTTTCAGTATTTATAGGTGTTGATCAGATCCCCCCTCAGCCTTTCCTTCTCCAGACTAAACAGACCCAAGTCCCTCAGCCTTTCCTCGTCAGAGAGATGCTCCAGGCCCCTCATCATCTTTGTAGCCTCTGCTGTCCCCTCTCCAGCAGTTCCCTGTCCTTCTGGAACTGGGGAGCCCAGAACTGGACGTAGTACTCCACCTGGAGTAGAGGAGCACAATAACCTCTCTTGACCTCTCTCACAGTCTTCCTGATGAGGCCATTGGCCTTCTTGTCCACAAGGGCCCATTGCTGGCTCACGGTCATCCTGTTGTCCACCAGGACTCCAAGGTCTCTTGTAGGGAGACCTTTTCCTTACCAGGAAATGCTGGTAACATGAGAAGCAGGACACAACTAAAAGATGGTGTGACATCCACCCAGAGTAGCAAAGGCATGAACACCCTTAGAATTTGAGCTGGAAATCCAAAGAACACTTCTCTCTCTTCCAGAAGGATGTTTTTGTGGCTTCTCAGTTAGGTGTTTTTGGAATGAAGAAGTTTTTGGAATGGAGAAGTTATGTGATAATCTAAAGGTGGCAGAGGGGAGGCACGTGAAGCTTCTCCAGTACTATTTTTACCTGAGCATTTGAGAGAGAGATTTACAAGT